TATAAAGGATGTTATGCAAGAAGAATTAAAGCGAATGGACCAAAGAACTCTGCGTGCATAGACTGATTTACCGACCTTAAAGAATAGATTCTCAGCTGGTTGATAGAGCCTTCTGCGGACCCTGGAAAGGAGACTATTAGGGGCTGGACCCCAATAGTCTCCAACAGGGGAGGGGAGAGGATATGATTGGGTGAGGGGAGGAGGGAGGAGGGGGAGGCAGGCACTGAGTCACAAGCCTTTAGTCCCAGCACTTGGGAGGCAGAGGTGATTGAAGGAGGAAGAAGGGGGAGAGGAGGAGAGGAGGAGAGGAGGGAGAGAAGGGAAGGGAGGAGGGACCGAGGGAAGGACTGTGGGGCTGACTCACCATCCCAGGCAGGGGCTGACTGTACAGGGAGGAGTAGGCTGTGGGCAGGGAGCACAGAGCCAAGTCCTTCGTCTTGAGCAGCTGATCCCCTTGGCTCTGGTATGTGGTGGGACACCGGCCCAGGATGTCTTCCTGGGATGTCCAATAGAGCAGTCAGCCCCCTGCACCACCTCCATTCCACGGCCCTTCCCTTCTGGCTCTGGCCTCACCTCCTCAAAGGTCTTAGACTCGTGGACCCCCGGACAGCTCTGCACAAGGCTCAGAACTGATCGCTTCACGTTCAAGGCCCAGCGTGGCTCAGAGTGGTGGGGACACAAGTGGACCACTTGCCCGGCACTGAAGATGAAGCCAAGAGGATTGTGGCCCAGAGCAGCACTGTGGAAGGAGGGATGGGTCACATGGGCCACAGTGACTCTGTCCTGCAGATTTCCCCATACGGAACACCTGGGTACTGCTTCCCACATCTCTCTGCTCCAGGGTGACTCCTGGGCTTGTCAGCGAGGGGGAAAACCCACAGGTAGGTCAGTTCATATAAAAGAGGTTCTCGAGAGCGGTCTGAGCTCTGAAACTTCCCACTGAATTCAGAATCTGTTGCCCCAACCAACACCCCAAGGGCGCCCAGACCAGCATAGAAATCCGCTCATGTCAGACAAGCTTTCCCTGAGCCCACGAGGTGTCTAGGAGCCCGATTATTACCAGTCCCCACTATAGCATCACCTACCAGAGAACAGCAGAAAGACAGACTTTGTCCTAAACCGTATCTCCCCAATCTCCTTTATTTTCTTTCTTGTTTGTTTGTTTAGACAAAGCTTCATACACCAAGCTGGTCTTGAACTTGCTCTGTAGCCAAGAATGACCTTGAACTCCTAATCTTCCAGACTCTACTTCCAAGTGTCACTACACCTGCCTTATCGGTGCTGGGGACTGAACTTGACGCATGCTAGGCAAACACCAGCTGGGCTACCCACGTTACTGTGGCTGGGGAGCAGAAGAAACAGCCTATGCATTCAGAAGCCACATGAGCCCCAGGGCACTGGAGTCTGGGAACAGGAGAGGGAGAGTTTGTAGGTTTTCAGGAAATGCAAATGGCCTGCAGAAGAAGATGGGGACCAGGCAGTACAAGCCTGTCATCCTAGCTACCAGAGATGCTGGGGCAGGAAGGTTGCTAGTTCAAGGTCAGCCTGTGCTACGTACATTATTTCAGCTATAAAGTTGGCTAGAGCAGAGACAAAGTCTCCTGTCACACACAGGGGGTCACTCACCCCCAAACATACACTTCAGTACAGACAAATCAGCATGGAGCCAGAGTGGAGGCTAAGATCTGGACCCAGACAGCTGGTTCCAAGGTCAGGGGCCTCAGAACCATGGGAATTGCCTTGAGATTCTGTCACTGTGAAACAGGCCTTGGAAAATCAGTGTTGACTCCAGACTTGCGCCCAAAGGAAACTAGGCGTGGTATCAAAGCACGATTGTCCTATCGGTTTCCTTCGCCGTGGACCACCCGCTTAGCTCTACCGGGCAGCATGTGAGCTGGTCAGTTTCTGCTGTCAACTTGACACAACTTGGAGTCACTTGGGAAGTGGGGGCAATTGAGTGATTGCCCAGATCAGACTGGCCTGAAAGACTGTCTTGACTGAGGATTGATACGGGAGGGCCCAGCCCACCGTAGGTGGCTGCATCCCCAGTCAGATGGGCCTGAACCTTATACAGCGTCTTACAGGGAGCTACCGAGTGAGCCAGTAAGCAGTGTTCCTCCAGAGCTTCTGCTCTGACTTCCCTCAGTGATGGACCTGAGGAGTGCCATCTTTCCTTCCCCCAGTGGCTACGGTCACAGTGCTGATCACAGCTACAGGGCACAGACTGTACAACAGAAGAGCATGCTACGCTGTACAACCCATGTCGTCCCTGTCAGTCTGGAGGCACAGCAGTAGGTCAGTGCCAAGCCTGTGCTCACCTTGGATTCCAAGAAGAACAAAACAATAAGCTCGTCAAGTAGGACACATCACTCCCAGCAGAGGGCAACTAGCTTTGACAGAGCAGGGATGGTCGTCTTGTGGGGACCAAGCATTCCCCTCAAGCGCTGGCCGCGGTGAAGACTTCTTCAGACCACCTCACAGAACCAGAAGTGAGACGAGGCCACACCTTGCCTGGGATAGCTTGGTCACACAGACCTCTTCTGTACCCCAATTCTTCCTCTAAAGCTCATGTCAATACCCAAAAGATGGATGTGGGTCCTCTGCCCCCTGCATCTGTTCTTCCCAGCATGCTTCAGTGATCAGGCTGCCTCTCTGCTTTCCACAATTACTCAGTTCTCAAATCGGTGTATCAGGACGGGTGGCCAAGCCCAGCTTGTGTGGGCTGCCGGAGCTCTGGCTTTTACCCTCAAACAATCATTCAGCCTAGGCAAGCAGGAATGCGGCTGCACACAGCAGCCAGGGAGGCACTGGGAGCGGGACTGAGCCCGTGCCACTGGGCCCTGCTCTCGCCTGTAAGGTGGCTGGTCCCTGGAAGGAAGTGGGGAGATACAAGAGACCAAGATGGTCCAGGACGAAGGGGAATGACCACACTCCAAGCCCTCAAGTCAGTAAGTAATGCAGGCCGTTGAGCAAACAAAATTGTCCCCATTTCCACCTCCCAGGGAGGCCCTTGTCCCCTTCTCCGGTTGGTGTCAGGGGTGGGGGTCCTAAGGCAGCGCCTGGGATCTCAGACCCTGGGCTTTCAGAAATGCTAATGGTGCTGCCTGTCTCAGAATACAAGTGTCAGTCTGGTCCCAGGAAAGTGACAACCCCCAGGGCCCCTGACTTAGCATTTCTGATGAGGAGTGGGGGACAATAGCCCCTTAGAGGAGACAGCCTAAGCCTTTCAGGGCACCCATCTGCCCCTGGCCAGTATCTCCCAGCCCCTGTCCCTGTATTCCTGGACAAAGGCTTTATTTTTTTAACAAATGAATTTGCAATAAAAAGGAAGAGGAATCTGTCAGGCGGGCTGTCTTCAGGCTGGCTGCCCTTGCAGCCCTGGGAAAGCAGCACAAGGCGGAGATCCAGCTCGGCTGGGTCACAAAAGGGCAGCTTAGCTTGGGGCAGGCAGGACATTGCCTTTTACCTCCTCAGACAATGGGGAAGGGAGAGCAGCTGGCCTCGGGGAGCAGAGATCAGAACCATCCAACCCCTACACAGGGGCTGTGCCCATTGGATCACTAGCAGTCGTGAACTCTCTACCTACTGCAGGCGAGGCAGGCAGCTGTAAGAGTCCCTCCATCAGAAAAGAAGCCATCTGATGATGTTATCTGGAGTCACTTGAGGGCCCTGCGTCATGAAAACGCTTGCTGTGTCATTGGCGGTCTAGCCCCATCTCTTGACAGAGTCTACACATGAGCATAGCCCAGTGTGGTGGTGCACAGCTCTGATCCCAGCACTCAAGAGGCAGAGGTGGGACCGTCAGGAGTTCAAGGCCAACCATAGCCATGTAACAAATTTGGGGCCAACCTGGGCTACAATAAAACCCTGTTTTCAAACAAAACCTGATAAAAAAGATAAACCCTTATTTGACCATCACTCCAAAGTGACATCTCTTCAGCATGAGGTCCCCTTTCTTGGGTTTTCTGGCTTGCTTAGTGTCTCCAAGAGAAGGGGTTATGGGCTCATACACGAACTCCCAGGCCAGGGTCTTACCTCAAACTCTCTGATTCCTTCAGAACCTTCACCTGGGGCCCCAGAACAGACGTCACCTGGAAGTCTTGAAACTGAAGCACAAAACACTGTGAGTTGATGACCTCGCGATGCTCCCTGAGGTTAGAGGCCAAGGTTCCTTCCCCAGAGAGAAGGTTCTGGATCCTGGTGCTGGAGACCCAGAGACTCAAGTCGTAAGTAATAGAAACAGCCAGATGCTCCCTGCTCTACGTTTGTTCTCCTTTTACCCCGAAAGATCTTAAGTCTGGCGGAAGGATTCCTGGAAGAGGACCGAAAGATCTTAAGTCTGGCGGAAGGATTCCTGGAAGAGGACCTACAACCTAAGGTAAGCAGGAACCGAGAGGTGGAAGGGAATGGTGTCCCAGCCAACCCTGACGACCTGAGCTCGGTCCCTGGGACCCACAACGTAGAAGGGGAGAACTGGCCCCTACCTCCACATGTGCGCCACGCAGAGAACAATTCACAAAGATTCTGCCGAGGACCCGAGTTTAAGTGACCAACAGTGTCAACTGCTACTGCAGAGGGCTAATGACGAACCCAGAAAATAACCAGTTCTAAATATACGCAAGCATTCACCAAAGACAAACATGGTGGTGTGCCACTGGGTGGCCGGGCATCGCCGGGGGTGTGGTGGTGTGCCACTGGGTGGCCGGGCATCACAGGGGGGGTGCCACTGGGTGGCCAGGCATTACTGGGGGGGGTGCCACTGGGTGGCCGGGCATCACCGGGGGTGGTGGTGTGCCACTGGGTGGCAGGGTATCTCCGGGGGGGGGGGGTGTGTGTGTTCATTCCAACAAAAAATTGACTT